TTTCTTATGACTGTCCAAGATCTGAACTTGCCACATCCATTGCAAAAAACATGATGCCTTTCCACTCCATCCCTCCATCCACACTCAGACTCCGGCAGCTTTGAAGGGACCTCTGAAAGTCTTCTGGTCCAGGTCCTGCCCAGAGTCAGTCCAACCATAACTCTTGTCTTCTATTTCTCCAGGGAGCCTGGCTTAAATACTGGCTTGGTTCCTTTTGTCTACTTCCATTTTTCTGTTGCCAATACATTTTTTATATAAAATTCCTGAAAGGATTCTTGTGGACAGAGGTGGACTTGTGTCTGCCATGGCCATACCCAGGTAAGTGGCACTGCTACCCATTTTAGTCTTTAGAGGGCCTGTCTACCCCGAGAATGGCTACACAGAAGGTGTCACTGTGAGGACTCAGGGCTAGGGGGAAGGAATGACAAAGGACAGCACTGAGCTGATGAGGAATTCATATTTCTACATCATGTACCCCTTTTAAGGAAAGGGGGAAAAGGGGGTAAGCAAGGGCCACTCTCACTGTGTTGGACTTGAGAAAAATTAAAACATACAACTCAATAAAATGGCAATACTATAAAAAGTTACATGTAACATTGTAGTTTGTGAGAAAGCAGGAGAGATATCCTGCCCTGTTGCTACAAAAGCAGCTGCAAGTCAAGTGGCAAGAAGAAGCTTCCCTGAAAAGGGAAATAATTCCCTTTTTCTGTCTCTTCTGAATCACTCCTATAAACTGTAGCACTGACTTTGTTACTGGAAGAACAAGGATGAAATGTTTGTAGGATCCCCAGGTGGTCTCAGACACCACACCAGCCTCTTCAAACGCATTTGTACACCTTCATGGTTTCTGTTTAAGCTTGAAGTAACATATAAGCACATATAAAAAATCAATTAGACTTAGATCAATTTGTGATCTCAAAAATGCAGTATTATCCTTTTACAATTAGAAGTTTCTGTGCTGAATTTAACAAGGCATAAAGCAGAATAAAACAGCACTGCTTCTCTTCTTGCATATGACTTGTCCTGGAGCTGGAGGGCCTTAGGGTGGCTTAACACCGTTCTTACCTCTGTCCTCACACACTAAAAAGGCCAAGTCTTGGACATGTACCCCACTGCTGCCACTTCCAAACCATGCCAAACCAGACCAAATCATGCAATCTTGTCTGGAAATTTCTCCCTGACAAAATGATACCTTTTCCACCCCATTGATTTCATACTGGAAAGCAGTAACAGCAAATTATTCATTTAGCACATGATTTTACATCAAGGGCAAGTGGCAACACGCAGCTTTAGAGAAGGTGAAGTGTCATGCTAACATTTCATATTCTAATACTAATAATTTTATTTAATATTTAATAGAGCTTTTTTGGTGTTTAGATAAGAATTCAGCAAGCTTTCTCAGCCACACTTCAGTTTCTGGAATGTTGTATGCCCTGTCCCTCACAGCACTTATTCACACATTAGGAAAATATTGACATGGTGTTGTTATCCTATTTGTGCAGGGGTCTCATCTGCTGCTGATGCGTCGTTCCTTCAATCAGCCGTAAGAGCGCCCATGTGTCACACAATCAGCGTCAGACATTTACAGCCTCCACCCAGTAGCTCTTCAGCATGCACAGCTCCCATTGACTCAAGTGGGAGTTTTATAAATTTAAGGGCAGTAGGATTGGAGCAGTTCCAGCAAATGATCCCTGCCTGCATTTGTGAGGACAAAATGAAAGCTCTTTGACTTTCCAACAGCATCACTGGGACTCCCCACACCACATTTTTCATCCCTTTTTGGTTCTACATAGCCAATGATTATCCTCATCAAGAAAGGGCTCAACTTTTTTTTCACTCAGGGTGTCACAAGAACTTTTTCCCTTCAGTCTACTACACAGTGGTTCTGGGGAATTCAGCCCCCAGGGTTTCCAGGATCAGGCCCCACCTGATAACATTTCAGGAACTCTCAAGACAAGAAAAACTGGATTTCTGCCAGGTAAATGATATGCATAGATTCTTTGCTTAGACCAAAAAGATTAGGCCTACTGTCCAGAGCTTCCTGATGAGTTAAAGATGTGACTCTTCAAAGCACTTTTATCCCAAAGTAGCATTAATATTTCCCCCCTTTTTTACTGCTCTGTTTTAGTCATTAAAAAACCTGGCACATATTTGCTTTCTCTTTCTGAAAGCGCTTGTTTCCTTATTTAAAAAGGTTTAAAAGTCTGCCCACTATCCCTCACTGACACAGAGCTGCAGCCCAGGCAGCCAAGCAGTTGTAATCCAGCCTGAGCTCCTCAGCAGACAGGTCGGACAAAGCTCTCCCTGTGAGCTGCACTGCCGATGGCTCCTGGAGCAAGGTTTGTGGGAGAAAGCCACAGAACCAGGAGTATTGAGCTGTTACACATCTCAGCTGCTCCCCCTGCTCTTGCAAAAGAAATTGTTGGTATACTGGACACTGCAGAGGACAGTAGTGGTAGTTTTCTGGGCACACAGTGCTTTTTATGGCTATTGAGAGTTTTCAGAAATTTGTATGAAAATGAAATCTCACCAATTTATTACTATTTTAGTTTTGTTATCTCATGATAAATTCATGAGCCATACCACAAGACGAACACATTACATGTTGTGTTAAAATGGCAGGGCAATTCCTCCCACCTTAGGCAACAAACTGAGGTGCTGAACTTAAAAACCTTGTTTTACACCTCTTTCCTGAGCAATGGATTCAGGTAGATGTCTCTGGGGCACTCCTTGGATTTTTGGTGGCATGAATCAGCTGATATACAAACCTCTTTTCCCTAACAAAGACATTATCACTGCCTAACTTATTTTTGATGAGAGACTGAATACTTAAAGCTCTTCCCTCATATGCAGACTGAGTTCAGAAGTTTTGAAAGACTGAAGAAAACTAGGGGAAAATCAGGGCAGATAACAACGAAGGAGTGGCAAATAACAGGCTTGTGTATACCATTCTGAACAAGGATTTTCTGGAGGCTGTATTTTGTTTTTATGGTGGGTGTATGTGTAATTTAGACTTTGTTTAGCTTTTAAACTGCCAGTGAAAGAACAAAACAGGGAGTAACTTAAAATACACATTAATTTGGGCTCATCTTATCTTCAGCACTATTTTGGTGCTGTGTTGCTACATTTTAAGAAGAAAAACTACCATAAGGGCATAAAGCTTTGATTTGGAATTGAAATTTCTCAGAGCTTCCAAGTATGTGCGGTGAAAAATGTTCTTCTGAGCAGGTCAGATGTAGACCTCAGTTCTGTTCACATCCTGGCATAGTCAGGGATCTGGGTTTTCATTTAACCCTGTACACATCTCTTCAGCTTCTCTCTTCTCTCCTGGGAATGCAAGGAATGGAAGGGTCGAGGGGGAGAGGAACTTATTTCATTAAAAACCGGAGAGATTTTATTATATCTTTCTGAATTGTCACAAAATTAGAAAATGAATGGAAGGAACAGTCGTTATGACATCTTGTCATTCCAACTCTGCCTTTTTTCCAGCTCCCATAGGCCGTGCTGGACGTGCTGCTATCTGCAGATCTATAAGGTATGAATCATCTCACACATTGCCGAGGTGAAACCTGGCAACTCTTTAACAGCACCACTGCAACACTATGGAACATTTTAAAACAGGAAATTAAGAATACCTGAGCCAACTAAAACCACAGGGGGAAGTTTAGATGGACAGAATTTAATTACCCATCTTGGAATTTGGCCAGGACACCAAAACTTACACCCCAACCCTGCTGTAAAGTGCCATCGGATCTTTAATACTAACAACTGTTCAAAACATCAGCTTTAGATCTGCTCCAAATGAGAACAGCACTAGAAGTCATCCAAGACCTGTTAAGGTATTCATTTACTACTGACTGTCAGGAAAGCTACAAGATACTGATTCACACAAACAAGCTAAAGTAAAGCACAGCAAGCAAAATATCTCTCCTATCAGCACTGGAGGTTTAATGTTTTTAGGAGAATTCAGTGTATTTTCAGAAGTGCATCAAGAAAAAAAATCCCCAACATATTTTATTATCTCAGACGTCAAAACATCCTTGTGCCCCCCTTGCAGAAGCCCCAGATATATGCCACTGCTCAGCCCTTTGTTTGTTGCCATTTGTAGCATGGAAAAGAGAGACACTATAGTGAATAACAGTGTGTCAGCTTTAAAGGGAAGATTAAAGACTGAAAGTCTATACATTTTCACTTCTCACATTATTTTCCTAAAGCAAGCTGTATGCTATTTAAATGTTTATTTGTGGTGAAGATGAAAAATTTGTTTTGTGGATTATCTTTTCAAGAAGAGTAGGATTTCTACAAATCATGGTTCTTGAAATTCCTTAGGCTGAGGAATTATGTCAGCCCTGAAAAGCATGGGTTCATTATTCACATCGTGTTACCCTGTTGACATAATTCCCTAACAGACTGGGACATGAGGTGTCCCATTTTGATACTTCAACATACAGCCACTGCTTTTGCCTCCTCTAAATAGTAAACATTTCTGTGTTCCTGTTTTAAAAAATCCTTTGAGCAGTATATCTATATAAAAAAGAAAATCTGGGTTAGCTGTGGTCTACCAGCAATTTATCAAGCAGTATTATTAGTTATGACTGTGGGATATTTTTCATTATCTGAGGATTATTAATAGAGACACTATATACATAGTGATTATTCCTTTACTAATAATTGAGATAATATCAATATGAAGCCTAGTTTCATTAACACCTTAGTAAAGGGACTATGATGTGAGGTTTTTGGGTTTTTTTATTCCATCCAATTTGTAATCAAAAGTTATTTAATAGTAGAATCAGTCTTTACTTATAACTGAGGTTGCGGACTTTGGGAGTTGGCAGAGCCAGCTGCTGGGCTGCTGGGAGCCAGACTCTTTTTGATCTTCAAATTGAATGGTTTCCTTTGATCACCTAGACAATAGATCATAAAAGAACAGAGCTTTTACCCATATCTCCCTAAATTTGCAGGTAAATAATGAGATGGTCTGAACTCAGGCTGGAGTGTAAGATTTTTAACAAACAATTCTCCCCTTTGAAGTAGACTTAGTAAAATTAGCATATAAATGAGCAATGCTGCTACATAAGGACATGTGGCTGGAGAGGAGGGATAATTGGCTGAGGGGGCTAGTTTCTAAATGAGGTCGTTTGCTGAGTGACCGGCAGACTACAGGTGTGCTGTGTTCTGTGAGGTGAGGAGAGCTGAATGTGGGGTTTGCTCAAGCCGGGGACCTGGTGTGGGAGAGGACTGAGCTCTGTAACCAGGCTGGAAAGTGCTAAGCTAGGTGGGAGATAGACCTTGCCTCTGCAGCAGGAGGCATTGTAATCGGGGCTGTGGAGTCAGGCTGTGGTCCATCACACCGACATTGGCCTCTGTCATCTGCAGCTGTGCAGTGCTCTGTGATAGGATCCTCCATACATCTCCTCAGAGCTGCCTTTGCTGGGCCTGTGAAGGACCATTATGCTGAAATAGCTGCACCAGTGGCTGCTGACAAGAGCTGCATGAGCTGAATTCACTGACCTCCAAAAGCCAGAACAAGGATTTAATATGGTGCTAGCAGGTTAACATTAGGATTTTGAGCTTCAGAACTTTTTATTTCACCAAAATCGTTGGAATTTCCTACCCCAGTGGGAAACTGCCACCTTGTTACATGTTACCTTGGACACCCTCCTCTCTTCATGAATGAGGCAGCTCTCTTGGGACCAAAACACCCTTGTCCTTCCATGGCAGGGACACGTGGCTGGAGGTCTCTCAGTAGCAGCACTTGCTAATGTACTAAAATGAAAAAAAATAACTTAAGTATGGATGTTTTGAGTCAGCTTTCAACAAAAATTTCTCAGTGTGCTTGAAGCAATCATGTTCTGTTCACTTGCTCCTTTATGCAATTTAATAAAAATTGAACTTGAGATTTACAGAGGACAGTAGACCATGATCCCAGGGGCACCTGAATAGCAAACGGGACAGTCTGTTCCGTGTGGAACAAAACCAAGCTCTAATTCCCTGTGACTTGCTTTGAGGATAGGTACAGACTGAGTTTCTGCAGAAAACATCAGCACATTCTGGAGGCACTCATGATCCTTTGGCCCAGATACTACTGAGATCACCTTTGCACTTACCTGTATAGGAGACCAGATTGGGCCCTCTTCAGTGTAACCCTCATGTAACATGGGAGGCTGAAGGCTGAATCCAGCTCTTCTACATCTTAACTGAGTGTTAAGGGCAATATTTTTTTTAAGATATAAATGACACTTCAGTCTCTTGTGAATGTATCCTGGAAAAAGAGTTTCTGTACATCAGATATTCCCTCATCATAATACAATTCCCTCATCATAATACTCCTTCCCTTGGAGACCTGTTAGGACAGGACTTTTTGCTGCTACTGAGCTCAGCAACACTCTGGAATTTTTGGCTTACTGCTGGAGCACTGTCTGAGGCTTTTTCAGGAGGTAAGGTGGGCTGCAGCAGCCAATGGTGCTGGGAAGAGCCAAGTACCTGTTTTGACACAGGTGGGTGAACCAGGAAGGGGCTTTGGGGAGGATTTTTGGAGGTGCTTGAATGTGGGGAGCTGTTGGTGGGTTTGGACAAGGGGAGGCTAATGCAGAGCTTTGGAAAGATATGGGGATGGCAGAAGCTGGGGCCTCTCCAGCTGGCATCAGAGCATGTTTGTGAAAAGGACCAAGGGGTGGGGAAGGTTGAAATGGATAGGTTCAGAAATAGGAGTTTTGTCACAGAGGAGGGGGAGAGCTGGGGCAAGGGCTGGAGCAGGAGGGCAATAGGCACCAAAGGAAATGGATTTATTAAACGCCTCTGACTTAGATATTGTGTTTGGGGCAATCTTCATTCCTGTTTTCCTTCTCCTCCCTCCCTGGGTTTTTTTTTTGGTTGGTTGGTTGGTTGGTTTGGGGTGTTTTGTTTGTTCATTCATTCATTTGTTGTTTTTTTTTTTTTTTTTCCTGATGGCAACAGGAGTAGCTTTGCCCAGCTAAACAGAGATCATTGGCTCCAAAAAAAATTGATATGAGCTTTTTCTGCACTTCTGAAATCTTTCAGTCCTCACCTTTTATATTTATTAGCTCAAAGTTATTCACCAAAAGTTGACCTGAATTCTCAAACTAGTTTTCTTCTGGAGAATAAACTCTTCACTAAAAACATATGTGCCCGTCACTACACTAAATGCAGGCAGTCTATTTACTTGCTGTTTGGCTGATAGCTGGCCCCTTCCCAGCAGCACAGAGGAGATGGAAGGCATTAAGAAAAGCTCTGAATATTGCTGGCTGAATAGTCTGCAAAAAAGGATAAGGATGACAGGACTGAAATCCTAGCACTGTTTAGAGGCACAAAATTCAGTGGAAGTTACACAAATGAAAACCATGCACAGCACTTTGAAACCACACCACTGTTACACCATAAATACATGGGAATTAAACAAAAATAATAAAAAAGGATTTTAGTTGCAGGCAATGCACTTTAAGGGCTCTGCTCAGTATGAAGTAACCTCAAAAGTACATTCCAGAACTGGTTTCTCCATCACATGGAAGAAAGGAGCAAACAGAACAGCAAATACAGAGGCACAGCATCTGCAAAGACTTCACAGGCTGGCCACTGCTCTAGCACACTTGCCATCCCTGCTGAGCATGTTTCTTGGTGGGACAGAATCTGACCTTGGGCTGATGGGTTGATTGGAAACTCCAGGCAGAAAAGCTGGGCAATTTGATCACCTTTGCAAAAGCAAGGGGGTGGCAGAGAAGCTAAATGTGCAGCTGGTGTTCAGGAACCCTGTTGGTACAAATGTAGGGGCCCTCAATGATGCTACTGTGTCAGTCAAAATATTTTCAAAGTAAAAAGGGGTGCAGAGACAGAGAGCAACAACAGCCTCCAAAATGAACTGAACCACTGTCCTGGTTTGGGCTGGGACAGAGTTAATTTTCCTCATGTGGTACAGTGCCGTGGTTTGGATTCTTTATGGGAATCACGTTGATAACACACTGATGTTCTGGCTTTTGCTCAGTGGAGCTTACTCTGAATCCAGGACTTTTCTGGGTCCTGTGCTTTGCCTGTCTGCAGGTGCACAAGAAGCAGGGAGGGAGCACGGCCAGGAGAGCTGACCCAGACTGACCAAAGGGCCATTCCATTCCACAGGACATGTTGATTAAATGAACTGGGGGGAGCTGGCTGGGGGCACCAATTGCTGCTCAGGAATGGACAGGGTATGGGAGCAGTGAGCAATTTTAGTGTGCATTGCATGTTTCTTTTGGATTTTATTCCTCTCTCTCTCTCATTTTCATTGTTATTATTACTATTATCATTAGAATTATTATATTTTACTTTTAATTAATAAACTATCCTTATCTCAGTCTAGGAGTTTCATATTTCTTTTCCTTGATTCTCCCCACCATCTCACCAGGGAGGAAGTGTGTGTGGAAGAGTGGGTGGGGTGTGAGCAAGGAGATTTGTGGTACTCAGTTTCCAGCTGGGGTTAAGCCACAACAACTGTGCTGTGCCAATAGCTTGATTTGGAGACACCAGCAAGAATTGTGTAAAGGTCTTTAGGGTAACGGAGTAGCATTTAAAAAAATGGTGTATATCCTCTAAATACATTTCCCAGGAGAGAGACCACACTGTTGGCTCAGGCAGGTGACACAGAAGGGGGAGTTCCCATTCAGGGGGGTACAAAGCAGGCTCTTGGGGCCTCCACAGAACTGAAAACATATCTTGAGTGTTGATGAAGCATGGAACAGAAAAAGAGCTTTTTTTTTCCATATGGGGGGATCAATTTGGTGGCATTGCAAGGGAAATATTTCACTAGGAAATAGGAATAGTCATCAAGGAAAGATATAGGAAACAGAAAAATCACAGGATGAAGTAGGCTTAGTAGCAGAACAACTGGGGGGTTGACAAATTACCAGAAAAGTGATATTCTCAAAAGTACAAGCAATAGCAAAGGCTCCACTGAAAATGAGGTTAGTTTTGAAAATTAGCATCACATCTGTCTAGTTCCAATAATCCTTGTCCATTTTAGAATGGAGCTCATGACACAAGATATCTGCTATAAATAATCAAATACATTATAACCTGGACATATCCTCTACATCAAATAATCCTGCTATAAAAACTGAGAATAAAGGAATTTGCTGGATGACTAGCACTCAAGAAATTGTTCCCTGGTGGGTTATTTGCAGCCTATTCTCTACTGCAGTAGTTTATGTTGAATAACTCACAGCTGTGGAAGTACCTGCACAATGGAATTTAACACTGCTAATAAAGGGATCCAAATTGGCCCAGCTCCACTCAGGACTGACAAATGTTAGGACATACAAATATCTCGGGTTGTGTAAAAGGCTGAGTGGCCTCAGTGCAGGACTGTGGATGCTCAGGCAGCGGGGCTGTGCCCACTGTCAGGGGTGGGATGGGGTCACGGATAAGCTGGGCAGCAGAGTGCACTGTGCTCCTCATCAGGGCACTGCTGGCTTCCATCAGGGACCAAGGATGTGCCACGAGGCCAGATAAGCTCTGAAGCTTTTTTGGTTTTGTACAGAAAGTGAGGTTCTCAACACAATCCTTTTGTGAGAGTTATAGGAAGCTGTTTTTTAGGAACTGCTTGCTGCTTTGTGTGCACAGAAAGTGCCAAAAAGCCACACATGTATGCAGTGGCCACAGTCCAGTCAGAGTTATCCAGTTGGGGTCACATGTGAAGCACCAGCTGACTTAACAGCATCCTGAGATGAGCTCCTGTAACTGGAAAGCCAGAGCTGACAAACCTTTACCACCATTTTTTTTTCTTTTTTATATTTTTTTAATTGCAAGTCTCCTTGATTAGTCTATTTTCAAATACTGAAGGGGTTTGGGGAAGGAAGGAGTAGAGAAAGATGGTTTAACTGATGCTTTGGGTGATCTATATCATATGTCCTTCAAACTATCTGTCTGAAATATTTACAAGCATATTTCTGTAGAACTGGGCAGGACAAAAATCTGTTTAATTCATTTATAAGTGTTGTGGCTTTGTCAGGAGCCTTGAGAAGGGAACCTCATCAGCCCACCTCTGGCTAGTTCAGAGGTGCTTTATTTGGTATTGTACTTCTACTTACTATTGTAGTTTCATGACAATCACATCTGGAAAGAAAATTATCAAAGTACAACTTAAAATTCAATGCCAAAAAGGAACCAAAAGGAAAAATGTACTCCAAACAAATGAAAAGGTTTTGGTTGAACAAAAAACCAACCAACCAACCAACCAAAACTGATTTTGAGAAATCATTACTTCTGTACATCTACTCTGAATCTTTCACAACAGCCTGCAGTCATATAGGCAGATATTTTGAAGTGACAATCAAATCACCACAAACCTTCTCCTAAGGAAGGCACTGGTCTGGAGGAGATTGTAGGATACTTGGAGGGAGGGTGAGGTGTAGGTAGATAACAGTCCCAGAAAAGCTGTGGCTGCAGCCAGGCTATTAGTGTGATAATTAAAAAATAAAACAAATGAATAAAATTTAAAGCAGATTAAATAAGATCAATTTTCTATTTTCCCCTATGAGTCTTGACCTTGCAGCTGTGTGCCCATCCTGGTACCTGGAAGTGCCTGCATGAGGCCCATTGCTAGAAGGTTTCCTTCATCACTGATTGCAGTTTTCTTCCCCTGTATATGGCCTTTCCTTGGAAACTGCTGTCTTGTAGATTGCCACTTTCAGAAGCCCCAGACTGTTTGAAGGCAATTATTATACAGACCACTCCTTCCTTCCCCAGCAGTTCCCCTCCCTACTTGAGAACTGGCCATGCTGTGGGTGTCACAGAAAAAATCATAGGACTTGACAACTCTCTTTCCATTTTAAAAGCCCATATCCTACTATTACATGGTCTCGAGCTCAAAAATGTTTCCTCCCCGTGGAGTGCCACTGTTCAGCCCCTCATTATAACCTGGCCATTAGTATTTTTTCCTCCCTCTCAGGAATGCAACCAGCATCTACAGTAAAGCCAAGTCCTGCTGTGTAAAATTTGGGTTAGGCCCTTCACAAGGAAGTCCTGACTTCTTTGAAAAAGGTGTTATATTTAAAAAAAATACATTTTCTGGAAGAAAGAAGGCTGATACAGTTTGTTTTGTTTCTTTTGTTGTTTGTTTTTTTTGTTTTTTTTTTTAACTTTTAGGCTGAAATAGAAGCAAAACAAAGCCAACTTGAAGCTCCCCATCCCTGTTGACACAAAGACCAGCAGAGGAGACAGCTGTGA